GTAGGATAAGGATTAGTAAACTGAGACTGAAATGAACAGTGCCAGTGAGTGATGAGAGTAAGGCCTGTGGGGCTGTTGTGCCTTCTGGCCTTGCCAACAATGATTTGATTATTGAGGACAGTAAATAACCAAGGCTTGGTATTGAAGTTAAATTCTTGAATTTATAAATATTTAAATATTAAATATAATCAAAAAAGTTTTAAATATAATAAATATGATAATACTGTTTGTAACTATAATTATATAATATAATTATCAGATTACAGAGCATTTGTAAAATCTTAATTATACAAAAAAATACAAATAAATACTAGATAGTGCAAACTTAAAATAAGTTTTTGTAACTATGTAAATTATAAAACCAAGAAAAACTAAAATTTATTTGGAAATATATATAAGAACAAAATTATTTTAAAAAGATAAAATCCAAAATTAAATTTAAAATAAAATAGTTTTGATCTATTTTTATTTAAAAAATAATATTTTTTTAAATTGATAAAATTATAAAAAATATAAATATATAAATTAGATTTGTTTTTTTTTATAAAAAATTTTAATTTACTCTAATAAAAACAAAATAAATCTTTTTTAAAAATCTAGTTTCATAATATATATACTTGAAAAGACTTAAATAAAAATATCACAAATCTTTAATAATGCTACTATAAAAACTAATTCTAAAAAATAGATACCAACAATTAGATTAAGATACTTGTAATAGTGGTTATACTAGCATGACTGATAGGTCATAAGACATTTGTGTAAGTATGGCATTATACAAAGAAATGCAAACTGACAAATCAAATAATGCAAATACTAGATAAGTTTTTGTAATCATGTAAATTTGTTAAAATTAGATAACAATAAGTCCATTTAGAAATACCTGAATAGAGAGATAGCTGGATCTTTGATGGCCCTATTGTAAAAGCTAGTCTAAGAAAACAGATACCAAGATTGTAGTATCTGGTCATAGTAGCTAGATAGGCAAGAACCACCAAGTTGAGAGTCTTGGAGAGTACCAAAAATCAGACCATCAGAACGAACTGAAGAAAAAGGATATTGGGCTAATCTGATATACTGATGGACTAGTTGTAGTTCTATATAGGCTATCTGAATTGGAAGTTTGGTAAAAAGGCAGATGAAAAAACAGAAGTATATTAAAGTACTAAGGTTATGCTATGAAGTAGATGCTAGGATCTAAGTAAACTTTACAAGTGCATAGTAGTTTAATAGTTAAATCTTGACTACAAGTGTTGGTTCTGCTATAGCAATATCTAAGTCAGCTATAAAAATAAGTACAAAAGACTCTGAAGGGTTTATCTTAAGAATAAATTAGTTCTAAGATTGAGATAATGATCTGAATATCTAAGTATAACTCAGTAAATTAATACAGATTATAGGTTCAGAGGGTTTAAAGTGAAACATTTAAGCAGGAGTATTAGGTATAACAATTGGTAAAGAATCTTTGAATGAACTTTTTAAATAGGTAATATAGAAAAGTTATATATGTAATTAATTATATACTCTTCTGTAATGGTTCATTAAACCATAATACTAATAAGTAATTAATAAAAGTCAAAAGACTAAAGTGGTTACTTTAATATTAAAAAAAAAAAAATAGATAGTAATATAAAATAATTAGATAAACAAAAATTTCTAAATAAAAAATATTACTAATTAGATTGCTAGGTCAAACTAAAAAAAAAATATCAGGCCAAATATATTATATTAAGAACAGATTACAGTTTTTTCAAACTATTTAGATTAAAAGTCTAAGAATAAAACAAAAATATACTAAAATACTAAAAATATATTATAAAATAAGTACTAAAATATACATAAATTTTACAAAAGCAAACTCTTATTAAAAATCTATAAAGTAAGTAGGTAATTAATAAAAAAATCTTTTAAACTTTACTAACAAAGGTTATATTCTAAAATATATAATAACCTAAATACTAATTTAAAAAAAAATTACTATATTATTTAAACAGTATACTAATTAAGTATATACAAAAGAGAGAATATGATGACCTAGTGAAGTAGATAGGTTGTCAATTCCCAACTGGCAGGTTTAGAGTTCAAATCTCAGTAATAGTGAAAATTTTGCAATTCTTTCTGTATTACGGCTAATTATCTTCTGTAATTAGTTAAAATAGAATATCTGTAACCTGTATTATATCAGCATGACTAGAAGGTCTAAGCATTTATATAATATTGTATGAAAGAACACAAATCAGTACTGGACAGTATGAATCCAAGATAAGTCCTTAGGCTGTATAAATCACAGAAACCAGGTAGGAAGACAGAAGCCTACTTGGAAGATCTGAGTAGAGAATTAATCTGAATCTTTGATGATGTTACTATAAAGACTAGATTTATGAAATGAAACTAGAACTTGTAAAACTGAGCAAATGTATTAGTCTTTAAGAAAGGACCAGATGAACCAACCTGGCTATCAAAATTTTCAGGTTTTAGAGAAAAAAGATACATGTTAGCAAATATATAAATTAGAATTACAGTTTTGTTCTATTTTTCTGAGTTATCTGGAATAGTAACTTGATAAAACTTGAATTGAATACTAAAATAGTAAGAATATATTGTAAAGTCAGTATCAAGATTGGGATAAATTCTACAAAAGCATAGTAGTATAATGATATGTCCTAACTGCCAGTGTTAGTCTTGATCATAGTAATATCAGATCAACTATAAGAATAGAATGCAGAAGATTTTAAAAGGTTTAGTATAAGATTAAAAATTATTCATATAAGTGAACTGTTTTAAAGACTTAGTAACTATGTTATATTTTCATTAGCATTGATTAGGATCATTGGTAGGCAGAGGTAAGTGGATAGATACAGAAACAGAATAGTTAAATAAGGAACCTACAAGTGGATTTTAGGTATGACAGCTAGTGTAAAACCTTCAGATAGACTACTTAAATTAGACAATAACTAAAGTTATATAAGTGACTAGTTGTACACTCTCTCTATAGTTGCCCTCTGTAGTTGTAATGCAACTATTAACCAAATATACTATTGATAAAATCCTGAGTTACAAGTACTTACCTTAATATTTAAAAAAAAAAAAAAAGTATATACAAAAGATTTGTAATAATTAATAATTAACAAAACAAATAATCAAAAAGTTTAAATAAATAATTTTTTAGTAGATTATAGATATGACATCTAATATAAAACCCTAGAATAAACTACTTAAATAAGTTACCAAAAGTTGCATATGTAATTAGCTATACTTTTAACCTTTAAACAAAAAAAAACCCTCATCTTTGATATTTAAAAAAATAAAAATAAAATAAATAAAAATAAAATAAATAAAAACAAAATTTTATTTTTAACCAAGTTTTAACTGTTAACCTTGTCAGTAAGCTATAAACCCCAAATAAATTGAATTTTAATTAAAAATTTATATATAAAATTTGATATATTAACTTATTTAATTTATAATAATAGCAATAGAACCTACAAGTAATAAATTATATATGTAACAATTTTCAATTTGAAGTTTTTTTTTTGTTCTAATTAAAAACAAAACTTTCATTATGCTTACGTATGTATGTACATACTTATCTGTGCAGCACACAATAATCAGTAGTGTTAGTTCGCATATGATTTTGTAATAATCGTGTAACTTTATATTGATTATGATGATCTTTTGGAAATAGCATATAGCAGATAGTAACTTACAATTGACACAATGCAAATACGCGTTTAAAGACAATAAAACATCATTGTAATTAGTACTTTCGTCGCGACATAGCGATAATTAATCGGTATTTATATCAATTGCAATTATTAATCATCACGTACGTGTCACGTATCAACAGGACGCGCAAATCGATTCAATTACAATGCATGCACCGTCACCGGAATTACGAAATATTTTTTTTATTTGTATAAACGATAAAAAGTTTAATTTGGAGGTCACCTGTTTAAAAAAAAATACATATTTTTTTTGCAGTCTACATAAAACCTTAACTTTTGCGTTCCATTCATATACAATGGCCAAGTCAGGTTCTAAAAGGTTAAGAACTCGGTCGATAACACAAGAAGAGGCATTAGTGTCCACACCGCCAACCAGTACTTCGACTACAGAATTGCCAATTTCAATGAAGGCTACTGAAGAAATCTCGCGACTCAAGAAAGAGGTTGAAAGATTAACGGCTGAAATAGCTTTTAAGGATCAGGTCATTGCGAGTTTACAGGCGGATAGCAAAAGATTCAAGCCGGGTGATTTATCTTTTAAAGAAAAATTTATAAATTTATTAATAAAAATTAAACTTAACTTTTGTTTTTATATCCTTCATTAATTTTTAAGGATTAACGTGTGTTATTTGCATAGAATATATGTCAAACCCTTGTACTATTTCATGTGGTCACACTTTTTGTTACCAATGCCTTTATGATTGGGTACGAAAGTTTTTATTCTTTAACGTTTGATCTGCATCTAATTTTGTGTATTGACATTTACTGCCCGAAGGTCAAAATACGTAAAGAATGTCCAACATGTCGTGTTAAAATAACATCAAAACCAGCACTGTCATTCGTAGTTAAAGAACAAGTGGAAACTTTTGTTGACAGATTATCATCAGATGATGAAAAAAGAAACGCACAAGAACGTCTTAGAAAAAAAGAACAAGAAATGAAGAGTGTGGCAGATCCGTGGCGTGGTCTTTTCAATGAACCAAATGCACCAGTTATTATTGATCTTGCTGATGGCATAAGGTTAGTTAACGTCTTCCTTTTTTAAAATTCATTATAAATTCAAATAAAATGACATCTGATGTTGATTCCAGGCGTTGTACAAGGTGTTCATGGGAAGGTAAATTCGATCATAAGTTACTAAAAATAAGAATAATTAATTAATTATACAGCAATAACGGTGACTTCATTTAGTTGTAGGGGATCATTGTGTTAACTGTGGACAACAATTCATAATAGAAATTGAAGATGATATAGACATCCCACTTGATGAGGATGCAGATACGGATGATTATGAGGATTCTTTCATAGATGATAGAGAAATAGTAGAACTTGGATCATCGGATGATACTTACACCGGTGAAAGCGAAAGTGAATTAACAAACGCTGCTTCAATATCTCCCATAAATACGCGTAGTCGGCGAAGACACTAGGAATGGATCGGTATTCGTAAATACGGGACTGGTCGGTAAGACTGACAAATTATAGGAAATAAAATGCGAAATAATAAACATTTATAACTCTTTCCAACGATGAGCGGTGGCAAATATTCATATTTTCCAAATTTCTCAAAGTGTTGAGGCACAATAATATTAGTATAAGTGTCCTTTAGTTAATGAAACAAGTGTTGAAAGCTCAACCCCTAATGAATTAGCTGTCGAAGTTCCAAATTTAATAATAAAAAACCAAAAAATATATTTGTATACTATTATCAACGATTTGGCGATACTTTTAGTATTAACGATCTTCACCTTGAGATGTTATCGGCTCCACTTGAAGCCGGCTCCAGCCACGGCTTGATACCAGAGCCACTATCAAGCCAAACCTTTAAAATCATGGCTTGAATCAGAGAAGTATGGCTTTCAGCCATAGCCTGAGCCAAGCTGATAAACTTTATCCATGATTTTGAAGCCGGTTTCAGACATAGCCGATTTAAGTCCTGTAGCTTCACAATAGCTTAAGCCATAGTTAGCAACGGCTCAGAAAGCTAAGCCATGACTTAAACAGCTTGGTAAACTCAAGGCATGATATATGCATGGCTTGGCTGCACCATGGCTATTTATGCTATGGCTTGACTTCCGCTATCGCTATGGCTTTGTGGGCCAATTACCCTAAAAAATTTCGTTACTATTTCGCCAGCCAATCAAATTTCAAGATCCAGTGTAACGCAAAAAATCAAAACATTCCAAAAAATCGTTCTACGCTCCTTGCAAAAATATTTAAATTGGTGACGCTAGGGTCTTAATTCAAACCATTCTGATCACTTCGTAATTCATGAATATATCCGAAACGCAAAAAATTAAAAATTTTATTAGGCATCGCTAGTGATGCGAACGGCTCGAGCCGAGCTGCGAGCCAGACAGCTAAGCCGAGCCGTTAACCGGCTCGGCTCCGGGCTTACTAATAAAGCATCGGCTCTAAACACAGAGCTTTAGAGCCGACCGTAGAGCTTGAGCCAATAGGTTTATATCATATTACTATCAACCAATAATAAACTCACCAGCATTGTGATCTCAATAACATTGACAATTTATTTAATTGTTCAAATAAAGCTTTACTCAAGCATATTTAAAAACCTAACGGGTTAACGAGGCTGTCTGTCAACTAAGTAAATCAAAACTATATGTAATGATAGTTATTTGAGTTTATTAAAATTTTTTTATTGAGGGTTTTTTTTTGAGGTTAGTATTACACAAACATGAGAATACAACTAGTTATATATGCAACTTTTGATTGCTTATTTAAGTAGTTTGTTCTAAGGTTTTATACTAGAAACTGGAAACTAGTATAAATCTAGAGCATAAGTGTATTTTATAATAACTTATTTTTTAATTAATTACTATATAGCAAAATAAAAATTTTATTAAGCAAATTAATTATATACTACTAAGCAAAGTTGTTCAAAAGATCAAAATACATATATTTTGAAATTTTTATATAATTATAATAATTTTATTACTTGATATTACCTTTTACAATTATTAAATATAAATTTATAAAAAAATTTAATTAATTTTTTTGAACATAAAAAATATATTAATTAGTAAAAAATTGTTTTATTTGTATATAAATCTTAAAATATATATATTTTAATCTTTTGAACAAATTTTTTTTTTTTTAATATTAAGGTGATCTCTTTGGTCTTTTGATTTTTATTAATAACTTTTTTAATAATATAACTCTATAAACTACTACTAGAGAGAATACAATTAGTTAATGTATAACTTTTCTATATTATTTATTTAAGAAGTCTATCTAAAATTCTTTACTAATTGTTATATCTACTACTCTTGCTTGAATATTCTACTTTAAATTCTCTAAACCTGTAATCTGTATTAACTCACTAGATCATATTCAAATATTCAGATCACTGTCTTAATCTAAGGATTAATTTATTCTCAAAGTAAACTTTTAAAGCCTTTTGTACTTATTTTTATAGTTAATTTAGATATTATTATAATAGAACTAACATTTGTAGTTAGAGTTATATTATTTAATTGCTGTATCTTTGTAGAGTTTACACAAATTTCAACATCTATTTTATAGCATAACTTCAGTATTTTAGTATGTTTCTGTCTTTTTATCTGATTTTTTATTAAACTCTTAATTTAGATAACCTATATAGAACTACAACTAGTCAATTAGTATATTAGATCAGTCTAATATCCTTTTTTTTAATTTGTTTTGACTGTTTGGTTAGTAGTATTTTTGAGACTCCTAACTTAGAGATTTTTGTTTATTTAGTTATTACAACTAGATATTATAACTTTGATATTTATTTCTCTAAACTAGTCTTTATAGTAAAGTTATTAAAGATCTAACTACTTCTTTATTCAGATTTTTCTAATTAGACTTCTTGTTAATCAATTTTAATAAATTTATATAGTCACAAAGACTTATCTAGTGTTTATACTATCTGATTTATCAGTTTGCATTCCTCTGTATAACAAGTTATACAGATACCCTATGACCTGTCAATTATACTATTGTGATTGTCATTACAGGTATTCTAATCAAATCATTAGTAACAATTACTATAATATGAATATTATATAAGTAATTATCTAAATTTTTGTTGTCAATAAGATTTAAATATCTAATCTAGTACTTGAGAAATTAATAACTGATCATTTTATTAAGTTATTATATTCTTTTTAAACAATTTTTTTTTTTGATATTAAAGTAATCTCTTAGGTCTTTTGATTTTATTTAAGAATAGGGGTAATATAAATCATTTTTTATATGAAGCTAATAACAAATCATATGATATCATATAATTTATATATAAAATTTTATTTATATTATATATATAAATTTTGTGTGATTTAGGAAACTTATAAGCCAATCCAGGAAAATTTAGTAATATATAAAGTAATTTTGTTTTAAATAAAATAAATTATAAATTTTTTTTTTTTTTTCTTAAGCAGTCACGTTAGTACTTTATTAAGATTTTGAAATTACATTTGCAATTACATAAATATCCTTAACACCTAAGTCTAGCATCACTCGGCCACCTTAGAGGTACCTAAGTGCAACCTGTTACATTACTTCAAGCAGAAGTAAGCTACTTGTCTAACTACTTAAAGTCCATAATAGAAAGGTCTTCACCCTTCTACGACAAGTCCCAAAATTGTCTTCTGTGTTTCTGTTCTAATTTGTTTTTCTTTTTCTCTTGTTTTTTCTTTTTTTTCTTCTATCTTTTGCTGATTTGCCTTTTTCCCTTTGCATGTTCTTGTCTTCTTCTTTTCTTTTCCTCTTTTTAATCTACCTGTTATTCCTACTTTCCTCTTTCATTCAATAATCTTCTTACATCAGACTCATCATACTTGTTCGTAAAATGTATTCCAGACCATATTTGCTATTACACTTGCAAACTTCTGTCTTGACTTTGTGTTTAGGAGCTGCCGTAGTCTTTCTTGTATTTCTTTTGGAATTAGACCTTTAATTAGAGCCTCTCTCATTCTTACTTCTTCTGTTTCTGTTTTACCAAAGAGTGCTGTATATAATATATATGGAGGAACTCGGATTTTTTCCTCTTTACTAAGTCCCTTCTAGGCTGTTGCGATGGTCACTTTTTGTATTCTTTTTCATAAGCTTCTTTGTCCTTTGCATGCTGCTAGATGCATTTGCATTTCTTTGACTTTATTTTTGCACACTTGGCATTCAGTCATTGTATATACATCTGGTCTTTTTTTGTTAAGTTCTTCTAGGATCAGAAGTTTGTCTATTACACATTTTATAAATGCACTTCTTCTGATACTAATTCTTCTTGTTGTATAATGTATTTCTTTCGTCATCTTTAGCCTTTTCCAAAAAAATGTCCAATCATAAATCATAACTTCTGTTTCAGGTTCTAGTTCTTTAATTGCTCTTGTTTCTCTCCATTCTGCTCCTAATCTTACATTTGTTACTAGCTTACATAACAATCTTGTTGGTATGTTAGTTCATTTGTTTTCCTACTCTAAGCAGTACTCCATTTCTTTACAATTGACTTCTTCGATCTGTATTATTTTCTTGCTCCCTGCTTCTTTTTTTGCTAGGCCATCAGCTTTATCATTCTATTTATCTTTACTGTGACTCTTTACCTTAACTAACTCTATCTGAATGTTTTTTGTTATAATAAGGTCTCTAATCTTCATTATCCATATTGTGTTTTTCTTTTTGAGGATCTTGTTTTTATCTGTTTGTTCTAAACCTCTATTAATGTTTCTTATTGCTGCATTACTATCTGTGTATATTTCTAC